CCCTATTCATACTAGTTGTGATCGATGAACATCTCTCTAGATATTTACCAGCGTGGCAGCTTCCACGCTACTAGATAATGCTAGACGAATTTCCACGCGTTCCGTTTTGGATCTGGAGTGAGTAGGATTGCTACCGCAACTTACTCTATCACACCGTACAGTCTCCCGCGGAAGTCAGATCTACGATCTTTTGTTTGTCTCTCTCTTTTGATTAGTTTTTCATAGCTTCTAATCCTCTCATACTTCATTCTCTCAATCTCAAAACAACTCGAAAGAATCTTTACACTGCTACTTTTAGCGTAGTGCAGTACACAGCTCAAAATCCTGAGGTTTCAAGGGCCAGATTCGGATACAGTCAAACTTTCGCTCAAAGTGTCCAGATTTGGTACACAGCTCAGAATCGGACGCAATTCTAGTTATCGTCGGTATACAGCTCAAAATCCTGAAGTTCAAGGGCCAGATTCGGTATAGCTCAAAATCCTTTTTCGCTCAAAGGTCCAGATTCGGTACACAGCTCAAAGGGCCAGATTTGGTACACAGCTCGAATCTGTTCAGACTGATGGGTTCAAGGCCGATTGGTTAGCCAAAATTGGTTAAGGTCCAGATTGGTACACAGCTCAAAATCCTAGATTGGCCAGTCGGAACGTCAAAATCTGGGTTCAAGGGCCAGATTCGGTATACAGCTCAAAATCCTGAGATTCAAGGGCCAGATTCGGCTCACAGCTCAAAATCCATTTTCACCAGGTGTCTCAACATCCAGTCAGACCAACGTTCAGTCAGCAAAAAATCCGCCTCGGCTGAACAGCCAATCAGCTCAGGAACAGTCCAAGCGCCTCGGCTGAACAGCCAATCAGCTCAGGAACAGGTCCATCCGCCTCGGCCGAAAAGCCAGTTTTACTGAGATTCAAAACCTCAAAATCCACCTCGGCTGAACAGCCAATAAGCTCAGGAACAGGTCCAAGCGCCTCGGCTGAACAGCCAATCAGCTCAGGAACAGCTCCATCCGCCTCGGCCGAAAAGCCAGTTTTACTGAGGTTCAAAACCTCAAAATCCGCCTCGGCTGAACAGCAATCAGCCTCAGGAACAGGTCCATCCGCCTCGGCCGAACAGCCAATCAGCTCAGGAACAGGTCCATCTGCCTTGGCCGAAAAGTCAGTTTTCCTGAGTTCAACACCTCGAAATCCATTTTAGCTCAAAGGGCCGGATCTGGTACACAGCTCAATATCCTGAGGTTCAACACCCAATCAGCCCAAAGGCCGGATCTGGTACACAGCTCAAAATCCTGAGGTTTCACACCTCAAGATCCGCCTCGAATCAGCCAAGGAACATACCTGCGTTACTAGCCAACTACCAAATCCATGGCAGGTTGACCATGGTGATCAGACTCCATGACAGCATAACCGCAATGGTCGCATTGATGGCTTGCTGACAGGAACCTCCCAGTCATTGGGTTCCGAAGCCTGTCCATCATAGGACTCTGACTTCATTTTCACTTGCGGAAGTTTGTGTTAGTGAATGACAGGCCAGGTTGTGTCTTAAGCATGGCCGGCTGTTTGTGTTAGTGAATGACTGGCCAGGTTGTGTCTGAAGCATGGCCGGCTGCCACATCAGCCGAATGTTCCTCCAAGCATGGGTTCCAAACTTGGCCGACCAACAGAAGAGAATCATAAAAATTGAAAGGTGGGTTGTATAACTGCATGGTACTTCTTTGTAGACGAGATGGGTATGTTGGTGTCGGTCAATTCTACCGGGGTGGGAGGGGATGCACCTGCCTCGTTTACACTCGCTCTGCGATACTACTGTGAGGGGTTGTTGATTGCATGAGTGAGGCTGCTTGGGGTTTGCCTCTCGCATTGGGTCTGGATATGGTGGTGGTTATGGAGACAGGGTGGCATACCGTCTCAGCAGTTTTGAGTATGTCTCTGCACGTGTGCATCGCTCTGTTGAGAAGGGCACATGCGCATAGCTTCGGATCTCTCGATACTGGGTATGGGCGCAGTGGATGTGCCAGGCCTGGACCTCGCTTGCAGGACCTGGTTCTGTCTCTGTTTGCACATACGCCAAGATCGCTCAACTCTGCGTGGGGACCCCACCAAATTAGCTCCATTTTCTGCCGTCAAGAAGGGCTCGGGGCAAGGTGGATTTCTTGTATGCATTACCCGGGCATCATCTTGGCTTTACCTCGGTTCCTAATTGCACGTGGCATTTGTGTCACGGGCGGGAAGGCTTCAGCAGTAGGTGTCTAGACTTCCTCAACATGGCAGCTAGTCTGAGCGTTTGTAGATGGCAACACAGCTTATGGCCCAGTGTCAGTTTCAGTTCCGCTGATTTTACATCATGACCTGTCTCTGCCTGTGGTTATCTTGTTGGGTAGGTGGGTGCGGTGCTGGTCAAGTAATCTGTGGACACCGATGGGGGAGCTGGTCATGGTCGCATTTATTGTGCCATACACTGCTGCTCATCTGCTGGAGGATTGCCAGACACATCCCTCCATTCACCCCGGTTGGAGATGGCTTTGGAACGGGGAATGATTGAGATGATCTTGGAAGATGGCTATGGAGAATGATCGAGATGATCTTGGAAGACGGCTGGTAATGACTCTTTCCTCCCCCTTTGCTAACACAGCGTTCTTTGTTTCTCCCTACCTTCCTATACAAAAAAACCACCCCCTTTTTAGGCTCATGGGAGCGATGAAGGAGACAAAGATAATTGCCCTAACATGGTTTCCTTGGAATGCAAAAGCCGATGTAAAAGCCAATGGAGAATTTTTTATCGATACACCCTTAACCCTAAAAGCATAGGATCCAATGTATTGGATCAAAGAAACCGATATCCATGTTTCGCTCACTTCTTCTTTCCATGTGGCTGCGGTTGTCGGAAGAAACTTCTTGTCTCGTCAGAAGTTCCACTTTGGACAGTGAAAGCAGACCCACCAAGTGAAAGAGAGCCTCTCACTGGCCGGAAAGATAGACGCAACGTATACCTTACGAGTGAAAAAGGGTCTTCCGATACGTTTCTGAGGAAGAACTTTTTGGTTTGTCGCCAAGATGGATGGTGGGAGAAGAAAGTCCCAACGGATCCAGAAGAATGGTTGCAAAAATCTGGTGACCTTCCCCGTGAATTGCCCAAATCCTAGTTGTACCCATATTTGCATAAGCAAGAGTTCATTGCAGCGTCATGCCAATGCCAACCCAGAGTGCTGTAGGTTGGTGTCAACCAACCAATGGAACATTCTGATGTCGGGTAACACTGCGGAAGGTGTGTCTGTCTGTGAAACAGCATTAGAAGGACAGGTTCCGGTCCAACCAAGGGACGATTGCACGGGCCTTGCTGAAGCAAACCCTGATGATGATCAGGAAAGCCTAGATGAGAATATCAACTTCGACACGAATGACATCATGGATGACACGGCGATTGTGGATCATCTTTCCTTCGACCCACCTCCTACCTTTGGCCCTGCGTATCTGCAGAATATGTTTGGGAAAGAGGGTAGCCAGAGTTACAATCAGGATTCATACAAACTCATGTCGGCAGAGAGAAGAAGTGATCTTGATCTTGATCTGTTGGAGATTATGAAGGATCTCCCCGCTGTAGGGTACAAGAGAGTTCGTGATTGGCGTTACAAGTCTGAGCACGTTTACAAGCACACTATGGATCACGATAGCTACACCAAGAAGGAGAGGACCGCTGTGGTTCAAGAAATAGAGGCAGACTACAACATGGATAAGTGCCACCCTATCACAAAGACTGTTAAGCTGCCCCACCTTGGAATTAACGTGAACCTCACAGTTAACTCATTTGCCGAGCAACTCATGCGACTCCTGAGCGACCCTGCCATGATGGACGAATCTAAATTGTTGATTGACCCAAAGGATCCTTTCAAGAAATCAATACTGGGAGGAGATGACGGGTGTCTGGGAGAGATCAATACAGGATCGGTATTCGTTGATGCTCACAAAAGGCTCTGCACAGAGAAAAACGATATCCTTGCCTCAATTATTTTTGGTATGGACAAGGGGGGAAAGCTTACATTGGAGCCTTTGATGTGGACTTCTAGTTTGTTCACCAGGCTCCCCCGGATACCTGATCCGTACCCTCAAAGAGGACCACTTCTCCAACATTTCCAAGTACATCTCCCTCATGCTGACATTCGAGGCTTACGTGAAGATGACAAGTATTCTATTGACAGCAATTGTGTATACCACGAAGATGGTGAAGGTAATGTTCACAGGTCTAGTTCACGCTTTTCCAAAAGACGAGGGTACTGGTTGGGCGACCATTAAGAGTCATTTGATCACCCACCATCCACATGGTGGAGGACCAGGTCAGATTTGGCAGCTTGGGGAGTGTGGACAGTGGACCTTTCGAGCATGGACACATCTACCACATTAAAAAGCCAGGTAGCGGCACTCAGAACAGAGTCCACAGCTTCAGTACCCAAGTTGGAATGCAGGCACACTACAATAGTGTTGTCGACCGTGCAAGCAAGGATCTTCATTCCTGCCGAGAGAATGTCGATACACAGTTGCAGGACGGTATCAGTCCAGCTTGGATAACTGTCACCGCGGATGCCGTCTACAAAAGTTCTCCATCAAGCAAAAAGGGGAAGAATATCGAAGCCAAGATCCCAGATTTCCTGGAGGGCAGTATAACCAAGACTGATATGCTCAACCTGATTCGTGAGAAACTTCTTCCCTGCATCGAAAGTGATTCCATTTCAGTTCATGTGACGTTTGTGAAGAACGGTGTGCGGGTTATGGGACCGAAGGGGCGTCGGAAGGCAGCCTTGGGCACTGGTTGATCGCAATAAGGTAATCAAGGGAAATACAGAGACTCACCAAATTGGAATGCACCTTCTGTTTGCCGTGTACATCCCAGAACTGTTGCCCGGTGTTACCATTCCATTCGATGCTGGAACATCTGTGGCAGGCAAGGGGTACTATTGTATCACACACACAGTTGAGAAACCCCTGTCGGAAACTGGAGATGGCTGTGACTACAAATGGGGTTACGGCACACTTGCAGAACAGAACCAGCGCCTGATCCATGTATCAAGGAAGCGGCTGAATCCAGACGGGAAACTCTCTGTCTGTGCATACTCGATTGATCTGGTTAGTCGTCCTTTGGCTGGTGTGAAGAATCCCAACCCGGAGCACACTGAGAAAACCAACCAAGAATTCTATTACTTTATTGTTGGCCAGCACAAGTGGGGTGACCTCTTCATTGACACCTCTCGAAAGGATGAGAAACCGTCCAAAGCAGAAAGGGAGGATTGGAACAGCTTCCTTGCTGGGTACGGATGCGATGGCGAAGAAGTTGAGGAAGGAGAGACTACACAAGAAGAAGACAGCACACGGGAACACACGTTGGAAGATGACTCAGATGATGGCACGGACAATGACGAAGAAAACAACACGGAAGGGAATGGATCAGACAATAGTCCAGGGTCGAGCCACGGGTCCACATCCCAAGCCAGCCAATCCTTGAAGACTCCAGCGTCTCACTCTGCTGGTTCTTTCCAATCCAGTAGAGGCTCCTCGGGCGCTCACTCCAGGTCATCCGCAAATGCCTCTCCGGTTGTTGCGACCAATTTTCGGATTTCCGGGCCAATCATACTGCAGAGCAGTGGCAGCGAGTCCTCTTCAGATGAAGAGAGGTCTGTCTGAAAGCAAAATATAGCGGACTCGATACACAGTCAGCAATGGCGGCCAATGATTGCTTTGACAAAAGAAAGAAGATATGTTTGTAATGCATGTGAGTAAAAGAAGTGAAAAAGGACAGAGAGATCCCATAGGTGGCAAAACAGAGTAGTTAACACATGCAAAATCACCCCCGGACCAAAAATGCACTCTTCTTCGTAGCAGGGAATCCTTTGTGTCCCAAAAGCCTTTGCTTTTCTCTGTTGCAATAGGTTTTCCTGTTGTCCCAGATCCCGTTTTTGACAAAAAAGTGAGGTCATTTTTCTTTCGGTGGCTAGAAACTCTATGGAGGTTCGAATTGGCTCACAATTTCTTTCATCTCTAAATTGTCGTCCGTCGGGCTGGTTTTACCTCATTTTCTTGCTGCTTTGCGTGACAAGTTTCTTAAATGGAGACCGTGTGGCGGGTTTTTTGCCGCCTACCCTGCCGAGATTGGAGCCAGGAAAACACAAGCCTGGAGGGAGGATACATGAGCTCATTTTTTACCGACGTGCACCATGGTTGGAGCAACAAAACACAACAGCGCTTCCAAGAGGGGCAAGGTTTCGACATCCTCTCGAGGCAAGGATGATGGTAAAGGTCAGGATGAAGGTATGGATCCGAGTCGAGTTTTGAACAAACTTAACAGGGAAGTCTCAAGAAACAGTCCGAGTTTTATGAGAAGAAGGTCCAGCAGTTCAGTGCTCGTGTGGACCAAGAGGACAGTGACGACATGGATATGAGAATGGAGAGATCACTGGTTTCAAGCGGCTGGTGAGCACAAAAGGCTGCTGAACAACGCCAAGTCACCATACAGGACAAGACTCAAAAAATGTGAGTTTTATGCTTCCTATGTTGAAATGCTGCTTTTGGTGGGTGACTGAACCTTTGTTTTCTCGCTTATTGTGTATCGAATTAGTGTATTTTCTATAGGGGTCTATAATCAAGCTAAAGATAATAGAGGCACCACTCCACCCACAATTGATGCCATTTTGAAGGCCCTCGGTAGGCAACCAAATGGTTGCGGGGAAGATAGTGAATACGACCGTGATTGCGTGGATTTCTTCTTCCGGGTCGGGGTTGCTAGCCAACAGACCTGCATAGAGGGAGAGGGCATGATTGAGAATACAACCAGGGGGCTGCTTAAGGGCAAGTGGGTTTCTACTATGGCAACAGCTGCTCTCTTCGTAGAACTGGCAAGCGACACCAGGAATATTTTGTACAACCTGGAAGTGAAGAAAAGGCAGGAGAACAATCGAGAACTAGGTGAACGGCTGCACGAAGCGTAAAAAGGGATTCACCAAGGACAATGCAGCCCATGCTTCAAAGATGTACAAGAAACACCTAGCGTACTTCAAACACGTTGCAAGCATTCCCCAAAAACTCCAATTGATTGGAAAGTGGGAAAATAAGATTGGATTGAGGAAAAGCCGTGGAGAAAGCTTGGCTTCCAAGAGGTCTCTCGAGCACAGCAAAGCCCTTGGTTCACACAAAAAGCATTGTTCCCTTGAGCTGGGTGAGGATGACGAAGATGATGGGTTGGGTTTGTTTCTTTTCCCAGGTTTGATTAAGAAAGATGATAGTACGACTGCTTCCATGTCTACCACCACCACTTCAACAGACAGCAGCGAGAGCGGGCGCAATTACAGTGCCACAGGTGCTTCTAGTACTGTTGATTTGAACCAACCATTGTCCGAACTTGGTACAGGTGTTGGTTTCAGTGCCGGAACAGGTTCTATTCGTGCCATGCAACTTTAGACTTAGCACCTAATACTTATTATAGCATTGCGATAAATTACTTTGACCGAATCATGTTCTACAAAATTTCTGGTTAGCCGTCCTATCCAATACGGACGCCGAACATCGCGATAGGATGATGTTCCACTACCATTCCGCTTGTGCTCCACTTGCTTTTCCTAAGTGTGACATTGATAGTTTGATGTTTGACTTCGTTTTAGGATAGACTGTGAGTTGATACAGGATGTGAGACATTTTCCCATTTATGTTTGCCTACTAGTTTCGAAGCTTCTCTCATCATTTAAATTTGTGGAAAAGCCTCACTTAATGTTTTTCATTGGTTGTAGAAGTAGGGCCTTAAGAGAAAAATCGGTTCCACAAGGGCCTTAAGAGGAAACATCGGTTCCATAAGTGCCTTAAGAGAAAACATGGTATACCAATGTTTTCCAGTTGATGTATCGTATCGTTCCACTATGTTCCAAACATCCTAAGCCCACCGTCAGAGGATGTATGAGTTATCGATACACGATGTAAAAAGCCCATAGGATTTTTCAGATGCATCAAGGCTATGGTGAGGCACATGCTGGAGTGGTAGCGCAAGTCCTTGGCAAGCCTGGCACCTCACGCAGCGGACAAACAGTGTTGGTGGTAGATGTCGATCGAATCCGTCCAAGGGCTTATGTTCATCGACACAAGATGCATGATCAAGCGTGGACGCTGAAAGGCCCAAGTGAAGTTCGAATGATCTGGGAACAGCTGAAGCCATTCATCGAGCACGATGAAAACACTGATCCAAAAGACCGGAAGCCCATTATCTTCTCTGAAAAACCTCATTTCATATATGGGATAACTTCTTCTCCGGTGATGTCATCATGGACTTCGCTGCAGAAGAAGGCTTCGGCATCACCATGACATGCAGGAGAGATCGGCTACCCAAAGGTGTACCAACCAAATATTGGTGTAAGGAGAAGACTGACAGCTCAGCCAGACCTCGTGTGGCACGCTATGAGAAACCCATCTTCGCGGTAAAGAAGACAGGTGACTCCTTGATGCAATTTACATCGTTCCAATCCACAAGTTCATGCATCTAGTGTTAATGCTCTCAATGAAGTAGACCTCTACGTGCGGAACAAGCAGCGCGGCAGGGGCAACAACAAGTACTCTTGGTTCATAGAGATGAATGACGCTCGGCAGCTCTATTTGAATTTCTACAACGGTGTCGATAAACTGGATCATCTAATTCACAACTGTAACATGGGCTACCGGTAGGCAATTCAAATTTGAATTTTGTTGGGCCTGTTAACTTCGATTGTAACTACATTGCAGCTGCTGGAAGTATTGGCACTCCCCAATGATACATGCCAAAGCGATGAAGTCGACTGTTGTTGTTGCTTACGAAATGTACCTCGAAACCTGTGAGGGCAAACTCCACTGTCATGCTGATTGTCGTATTAACAAACCGGTTTCCTTCTATCGATTCAGAGAGAAGCTAGCAAAGCAAATGCTCGCTTATGCCCCTCGAAACTGCAAGTATCTTGGCGATGAGAAGATGAGCGATACCACCACAACCAACAAATCCAAGAGGCCTGGATCGAAAACTCCTCCTCCACGGCGTCGTCCTGCCGATGATGAGTTAACAACTGCTTCTGGTGTCACCACGGATGAAATGGCAGGCAACAACCATGGCGATCGATTGTGCGGATTTATCACTCCTCTCCTTGAGCAATATCAGGCTTGTCAGACAATGCCGGCCAATAAGAAGCTGAATTGTGTCTTCTGCGGAAAGGCTTCTTATCAGAAGTGCGCTGTTTGTGACAAGCCCATGCACAAATTCGCGAGTAAGGAAGGTGACAACAGCATCCCCTGCTTCTTCCACTACCACAACACCGCCGCCATGGGATTGGCAAGAGATGATTGGCGGGTAACCAACAAGCGTCTCAAAGACTGGACGTATCCATCAGCTTCCGATTTCGAAGATAACGAAACTCAAATGAGGCGTTTGCTCAATGAGATGCGCAGCAGTGACAATAACTCAACTGGTGGCAGAACCTCTGATAGCGGCAACAACAGCAATACCACTGACGGTCAACAGTCGGCATCCACCAACACAACCAACGTAAACAACGGCGGAGATGATACAATGACTCCCTAACAGTGTCATGGAAACGAGAACTCTACTCTTTCATAGTAGCTACTGCTTAGTAGTGTTGCCTTCTATTTGAATCGCTGTAGCAACCTACTAGTAGTTGTAGTTACGTAGCAGCGGCAGTGAAAATGGGAGCCACCACTGCCACGTAGTGGCAATGAAGAAGATGCCGAAACTAAACGACAGCTGAACTAAAACAAAATTATCAGGTCATTTTGCAGCTATGGATATCAAGATGTATACAATGGCATTAGTCTTCCTTGAACTGTGTCATACTGCAGGCGCTCAGGTAAATGTGATCAAAGAACACAAAAAACTCTGCCTTGGTCATGTAGAAGATGCCGTCATCTGCTACAACTGGTTTGAGCAGTGCTTTGATCTGAGGGTAGTCTTCCCAGCCTGAGCCAGTGTCTCCGAACTGGCCATCTTCTATTTCTCCGTGGCCCCATGGATTCCTTACTTTGAAGAGGTCAATGCCCGTTGCAGCTACGTTGTGATGAGCATCAATGACAGAATAGCAATGGTTGCGGACCATTCCGCTGGCAATTTCCTCTTCTGATGTTCCCTTAGAGCTGGCTCCCACAATGTAGTCCACTTGGTCCCAGGCAAACATCTGCATGAACAACTCATCCTGAGATATCTCCAGACCCATGGCACCACCACCGCCAACCTTGGGCCATGCAATGGGCTGTGTTGAGGAAAAGTATATACAAAGGAAAGGAGTGAGCTACCAAAAAGGCATGGCTCAGGAAAAGCTAGCAACAAATACAGCATGCACTTTCTTACCTCCAAACCAGCCATGTCCTTGTGCCGAGGTTGGTTCTGCAGCTGCTTCCACTGCTTGGTGAACATGTCATACTTGGCAGAGCAGTGGTATTTGCCTGTGTGGTAATTCTTGCGAATAAAGTACTGCTCTTTGCATCCTGTCATCATGGACCAGGCATGGGTGCAGTGGCCACCTTCAAGGTCATCCCAGCCACCTCCACAATGCACCATGAAAGCCTTTTCCAAGTAGCTCACCCACAGTTCACCATCTTCAGTAATCTGAGCACCCAGAAGTTCGCCATGCCTAAATGGGTGGCCACATAGAGATTCGTCAATTACAATGTCCACCTCTTTCCATGTGGTCAGATCAAACAGAGAGATGGTGTACATGTTCGGGCCATCGCCTGGCATGCTATCCAGGTTCTTGGTTTTGCGAAACAGCTTCTTGATGGCACCATCAAACTCCGCCAAAGCAGAAATGGCTGATAACAGCCAGCAGTTACCAACTTCACCCTGTACAATGTCGGCAGGATCAATGTCACCAATGATCTTCAAATTGGGTGTATCGCCAACACCCATGCCACGGCCCGGTAGGATGGGTGGATTATCCCGATCATGGAGCAGTTGTCCATCAAATGTCAGATCCCATGAAAATGCATCACGGTTGGCCAATGGCAATGTGTCATTGGGCATGGACCGCAAGTGTTGATACTTGTTTATCATCAAGCTCATCCTGCCATCAGAAGCTGTGTCCAGGGGATTGATTGGGGTAGTGCCTTCTCGGTGAATGAGTGTGTATACATTGTTTTTTGTGCTGTGAGCAAACCTCATGCTGTTTTGAAAAGTAATTGCCACGTACTTGTCTGGGTTGGCGGTGAATTTCTTGATGCCCTTGTCAATTCGTTTCCCACGGACCTCTTCCCATTTTCCCATCTTGTTGCAGTCAAACTGACCAGAGAATCTCACCTTCTCCAATTTCCACTTGGATTTGGGTGCAATCTTAAGTGCCTTCTTGACATCCATGGGGGTGTAATTAGTGCTATTTCGTCTGGCTAGCGATGGGAAGGTGAGCAGAGAAAACACACTTGAAGTCAGGCCAACTGCGCTGCCACTGGAACGTCTCCTTTCGGCTTTAGACACATTTTCAGCAATTATTGGGGCTTCGTCATCCGTTGGTGTCTGATGCCGTGACAATATTCCTGCAAACAGACTTGTTCTTCTCGAGGGTGCAGTGGGTGGTGAAGTAGCTTCAGCTTTTTTAGCTTCCGAGTTGCACGCCTCCGAAAAATCATCATCTTCCGACGAAATGAGAGGCTGTCGTCTCGGCATCATTCTCAAGAACATGTTGCTCCTCCTTGGGCGTGCAGGACATGGTTTAAGTCCAACGGTAGACAACTCCTCTTCTTCATCACCGTCCTCCAATAACGGGGATAGTGGACTCGGCTGGACTGCCAAAGATACTTCCTCTTCAAACTCTGACTCTGACATGGACATGTCTATCAGTGGCGTTATTCCACCTGTCGGACCCATCTGAAACACACTACGACGTGGTTTCGAGAACCCAAACAAGGAAGCTGTTGAGCTTTGACATTTCTTCGGTGTTGTTTCAGACTCTGGCATGTCATCTCCCGGTGTCATTGGAGCTATGCCCCCACTTGCATTAACCCGAAAAACACTGCTCCTCCTTGGATTTGGGCGACCCGACAATATTGACTTTTTTCGTGGCTGCTGCAAGAGCTCTGTCTCTGACCCAGACAAGTCTTCCCCTCCCAACAAGGACGAGATGCTGCGATTGTTGCTCCTTCTGCGAGACCCAGACAATGAATTTCGGCTATTTCTTCTCGAATGAAATGACAGGTCTGTCTCTGACTCGTCTGAAATGTCTTCCCCGTCAAACAGCAGCGAAAGACCTCCATTTTGATTGACCTGGAACACGCTGCTTCTCCTTGGGTTTGGACGACCCGACAGCGACGTTCGGCTCCTTCGTCGTGGTGGACACATTTCCTTGCCGGACGGATCTTCTTCCTCTACCATGGGCAATATACTACTATGTCGTGCTGTTCTGTTTGACGGAAGAATGCTCTTTCGAGTTGTTGTAGCACTGCTCTCTGTTGGTGCCTGTTCCGGATATGGCGTACTAGTAGTACCCGAAGTGAAAAGAGCGGATTGAAGAAACGGTGGATTCCAACTGCTTCCTCTCTTGGCTTGTTGTTTGTTTTCTTGCGTGGTTGTCGGATGCACGTTCAAGGCCGGGAACGCGGGGGTTTCGGGTCGTTCTGTCTTCATTATCGTCGATGGTGTCTCCTCACCTCTTATTATTGAGGTGGAGCACACAGTTGGTGAATCCTCCGAACGATCTGGAGTTGAGATTTGTTCCGAGACAACAAGTGAGGCAGGAGAAGAGTTTAATGATAAAATTGGAGTGGAGGTTCTTCTGGCTTGCTTTACTGATGAGCTGTTGTTACCAACCTCAGCAGTCTTGGGCGTTGTGCCAGCGGCCTCGCCTTCTAGAAGAACTGGTGTTGAGCACCTTCTGGATTTCTGTCCTGCAGGATTGTTGTTGTTGTTGTTATTGCTATCGTCGCCTTTGCTACTGTGCCACCACGGTACAGTGAGATTGTTGTTGTCTTTGTTGCTGTTCAACGTGGTCGTGGCGATGCCAGTGGTAGTAGTAGTAGTAGTAGTGAGCACTGGAGTGGAGCACCGCCTGACGTTGTTTGTTGCTCGTGTCACGATGATGGTGGCTTTCTGACTATTATTATTACTACTGCCTACCACCGCTGGTGGTTGTGTAGTAGAAGCATTGGTCAGGATTGGTTGTTCTGCATCTTGGGTTGGACTTTGTTGTTTGCTGCTTTGCAGTTCTGTAGTCGTTGCTCTGTTGTTGTTGTTTGCAGGAAGAAGAACAACAACAGCATTCGTTTGCTCCGATTGCTTTGGAACTGTCGGCGCTGGTGTGACACTTGGCACGGCACTCGACAAGTCTTGCATTGCGGGCATGGTTGGTACACGGGTGGAGCTTGTCGGCATAGGAGGAGCGATGGAACTTTGCGTGTTGTTTGGTTTGGGACTACTACTACCTCTTGCACCAGCAGGTGTAGGAGTGGAGCTACGTTTGTTGGCCTCTGGAGATGTTGGACGACTGACTGGTGTGGAGCTACGTTTGTTTGGCTTTGGACTACTCTTTCTCCCAGTGTTGACGGGTGTCGAGCTTCTCTTGTTTGGCTTTGGACTCTTTCTCCCATTATTGACTGGTGTGGAGCTGCGTTTCGTTGGCTTTGGAGTTGTTGGACGACTAACAGGTGTAGAGCTTCTCTTGCTAGTAGTAGTTGGTTTTGGACTCGAGGGGCGAGGTGTAGAAGAACTTCGTTTGTTTGGTTTTGGACTATTGGTGCCATTATTATTGACGGGTGTAGAACTTCGTTTTGTTGGTTTTGGAGTTGTTGGGCGACTGACGGGTGTGGAACTGCGTTTCTTTGGTGGTGGTTGTGGAGACTCCGTTGGAGTGGAGCTACGTGTCATGGGAAGTACGGAAGTTTGTTGGAATGGCTGTTGCTCATTCTTGGAAGAGGGTGTTTCTTGGGTGTCACTTATTGGGATGATGATGTGTTGTGGTTGTGGTTGTGGTTGTTGAAAGGCCACAGGTGTGGAGCCTCGTTTGGTCTGCTTGAGAGGTGGAGATGCGGCTTCGCTCCTTTTCACAGTAGTAGTAGTAGTCGCCACGGTACCTCTCCGTCGTTTTGTGGTAGAACTGCTGCTTTTGGGAGGAGGGGATGCCGCCCCATTGTTCCGTGACGAGGCTACAACTACCGTGTTTCTTCGTTGCTTTTCCTGTGTGGTGGTTTGGGGGTCGGGATTTTCGGAAGCGAGTTTGGTTGCATCTGAAGTCGTCTCCGAAGCTTCTGTCAAGTTGGGTTTCGTCGTCTTATTGGGACCTCCAGTTGACTTGTTCTTCTTGTTCTGGGAAGAAACCGCCACGGTGTTTCTACGGCTCGGCTTTGCACTGTTCTTTGTGTCGTTGTTTTCCAATTTAGTGGTCCCTGCCACAGAATGTCTCAAGGTGTTTGGAATTGGAGTTGGAGTTTCCTGAGGTTGGAATGGAAACGGCACGGACAGCTCTTCTTTGGATGGAAGCATGGAAATCTCCGACGAGACATCCTGTTGTTGTTTGGATACAGTTAGAAGGATCTCTTCGGGATGAACTTCGGGTAGTGTGGGCGTGGGCGGTGGAGTGACGCGCAGTTTCTTGTTCTCCGTTTTCTTGTTCTCCGTTTTCTTCTTTTTGGCATTGCTGCTGCTGCTATGGTTGGACAGGAACGCCAGTTTACCCAACAACCTCACGGCCGAACTTCGCCGTCGGCCGCCATTCGACTTTCGCTTCAAAAAGGATCCCAGAGAACTCCGTTTCTCAGGAGTCGTCTCGGCGGAAGTGCTCGCCACGGACGGTCTCGAATGTTTGTTGCCCATGGTCCCTAAAAATGGATGGATGGATGGATCACAAAGAAATGTATGTATGCTTTCGTAGATAACTTCCCTATCGAATACTCTAGCTAGCTAGCTATCCCCCTTCCATGCTATGATATGAAGGCGACCTTATCCGGATGTTATCAACGATAGAGCTGCAGCAACACCATTTTGTTGGAAAGTCTTGGACACTTTGCTTTTGGATCACTCCTGGACACTTTTTGTCGCTCTTGCTGCCAAATAACCACTGTCTGAGGAAAGAATTAAAGCAGGTCATGGACGTTCTTCTTTGCCAATTTCATAATTAAAGCTGTAGTTTGTACCAGCAGCTAGTACACTAAATAGCCAAGGACATCCTAATTCTATTGTTGAAGTGGATGTACAGTATGTAAAGGTACTGTAGAAGTACCAGAACAACAGTGGGGACATCACCTTTGCTTGTTTCAAGTTTCAACGATGCTGCCATGCAGCCTCTCTAGCTATTATTTTAAAATAATAGTCAGGGTTGCTGGTTCAATTAATATTTCATGAAATAGTTCAATTAGGGTTCACGAACCGGTTCATGAAGCGCACGTTCATGAAGTGGTTCATGGGGGGTTTGGGCCACTCATGAACTAGGTTCAAAGTTCATCAGAATACAAAATTTGGTGAACTTTTCCACATTTTTGGTTCATGAGAATTCTGCACCATAAATGAGGCAACACATGTCTAGTAAGCAAAATTTTCCTGACTTGCAAAGCCACCTTCAGTCCAACTATCCACCAACTACACTTGTGCCAGGTTTGGTGACCCAATGTATCGGCGTTTGTTCTTGAATACGAGCATACAGCCTGTATTTGCTAACCATAACCCTGTATTTGCTAACCATAACCCTAGGTTTTGGTTCACGAATGGGTTCATGAATTGGTTCACGAGGCTGCTCAAAATTTGGGTATTCACGAACTGGTTCAGTTCATGAGCATTACGTTACCCGAACTTTTGTCATGAACAGAGTTCGTATCCAAAATTAGTTGAACCAGCAACCCTGATAATAGTTAGCTTTTTATTTCTACCATTTCACCAGTAAGCTAGTCACATCATGAATGCATGAATGCATAGTAGTAGTAGCGTGAATTACAAGTAGACTAGCTAGCTTAGTCTAACTCTGGCAACCCAAGCAAGGCTTTTTTGGATTTGAAAGGGACTTTTCACTGCATATGGGCGTTGGGACGATGGTGGCCCTGTTGATCTTTGTGGGAGTCTTTGTCTCTGCCTTCGCTGACCTCTTTCCTTGCCATCCTTCGGTCGGTTGGTCTGCTCTCTTGGCTGTCAGGCTCCGCCCTTGCACCCATCCACTCAAGAACCTTTGGACGAGTCGAGTCTATACCGGTAGTCCATTCCCACGTGCTCATAGCTAGCTAGACCAGCCACTCTAAATAAATACCCACATACTGTAGTATCTTGTAGGAAATCAACTCAATTTGGCAGCAGCAGCCATGGGATTTGCAAGTGCCAGCCAGCCATTGTAGGTTTCCAGAGTAGGAAAGTTAGCCAGTCAGCCATAGCTAGCCTAGTAGCTAGTAGGTTGGTCCGATTCAAGCAGGGCAAGTTAGCTAGCTAGCTGATCGGTGAATGTGCTTTCTTGATAGATGCACCATGATGCCAGCCCTGCCTTTTGCAATGAAAGAATTGCCGTGACAAATCCGTCCATCCATCCATCCATCCATCCACGACCTGCCGACAGCCACTTGGTGCGTTCAGCCGGTCAGGCAAAACCAAGCAAGCCGTAAGCTGGCCTGGGAGAAAAAAGGATGATGATCTCTCAGACACAAAGCAAGCAAGCTGTGTAGGTAAGAAGGGGTTTAGAGTAGGGAAATTATCTACGGAAGCCAGCCGGGGCCAGGCTTAAGCAAAGAACAGTCGAAATTCAGGACTAGGGTCTGAGGGATCAGGGGCAAGAAATTGAGGACCATTACGGGGGGCAAAGGGTTTGGCTTTGCGGGATCCACAGAGACATAAATGGGTAGCTTTCACAAGGGCAATTGAGATACGGGTCTGCATGAAGAACATCATTTGAGAGTAGGAAAATTGAGTTTTGGAGGCAGTAGCAGAAGCAAGGCGTTGTAAGAGAGTCTTGGCTTGAGGGGCGTGTAGTAGTAGGACCCCTTTTCTTCGAACCGAATCGCTGATAGATCATCTCTACATCTCTAAGCAATGCAGAGGACGATAGCTACCTTACCGGTACACTCTAGGTTACTCATTTCAGCTCTTTATAACTCGAGGAAGGTCAGCGCAAGCGGGATCGCGATAGACGCCACCGATAAGAATGATTCCATCCTGAATCCAAAAACGGATTTCCTCCCGCGACCAGTTCTTGGGTTTAGAGCGTAAATGTATGGCTGGTACACGAGCAAAGGGTCTATCGAACACTTGCAACGGAGGTTCCGCAAAAGTAGGACCTGAAGATTTCCCATGCTGGGCATGTCACCACTGCGCCCATGTGCGGTGCAGATTTACTACCGTAGAAACGAGGTGCAGTCCCGAGGAAGATAGTGGGAGAGTTCGAACAACATCCAGACCGCGGCAGGTCGGGCCTAGCAACAGCATAACAGCAGATCAGCACTATGTCGCAGCCGAAGCTTTGAACATTGAACAACTTCCCCAGACTGCGGCATGGCCAGAATTCTAAAATCGTGGTTCCGGTGGAGCGGACTTTTTGACTTTCGTTGTTTGGGGACGATTGCCTTGGATGAACACAAATCAAAAAAGACAACCCAGAGGTTTTCACGGTTCTCTCGAGGAGTCGAGCCGACCAACCCAGTCAGGAAGTGTTCTTCAATTATTTGTTGCAAGGATCAACCGGTCAATGTGAGAGATATGATCCCCCCTCTCTCATGCGGTGTCCTCTTTGAGCCGCGGATGCTGTCGCTGCAACATCTTTTCCGCAATTGTGCCGAGGCTCATTGATCCTCGACCGATCTCCTCCCTCTTCGTTTACTTCTACAAATGTCGCGTTCTTTGTTGTCTACATCGGAGCCTCATTGAGACCAGCAACCAATTGCTACACCAAGTTGCACTTCCAAAAAAGCACTTTCTCAACCTTTTGCTTTGACAACGACCGGTGCCAAGCAACGCGCTCAGCGTCTCGCACATACAAGAGCTGTCACATTGGCAGCCATCAGATCTTTGTCGTGCTTGGCCTGCATTTGCCGATCACTTCAGCTTTGCTGGCACAATGCTTTGGGATCTCTTCGCCATCCATAGAATATTTGTTCTGGCTGGTTTACTCACTCAGCCCTGCTGCTGGAGCTCTTTGGGTACCTACCGGTATCGTTCCGAGGAAGCCCCGAATGAGTCGATTCAATAATAGCAATAAGATAAAAGTGGATTATGTAATCGAACCAACGGCACATTAGGATAAATAGGCGACTAACAAAGGAAAAGGAAAAGTTTGGTCTCCACCATGATGCTTTTTCCTGATGCCGTCATTTGATCCTTCTTCAGTCCACAATCAAATTGTACCCCAAGCTAGCTCACTTGTCAGCTATGGTTTTCATTCCCGTTTGCTGTCCACAAACCCCATATCACATTGTTCACCCAGCGTTGGCCCCCATTGACTCTGCCGTTTCTTATCATGCTCCTATTCCCTCTGATCCCATCAGCCAAGATCATGACATTGCCCTTGCTCACTTGCCAGACCAGCTACGATGTGCCTCCGCAGTTCTCAAATTCCTGCTCGGGGCAAGTGTGGTGCTCTGCTGGCTGTCAGGCTCAAGCCCCCTGCAATGCAACACTGCCCACGATCTCGATTTCATTCCCACACATAGTCCACTCAACAGTGGTAGGAGATGCAGTATTCGTGTGGTGTCTCCATGGATCGGGCAGATTGACTGAGGACTCTGCCCGATTGAATCTTTCCGGTCCTGCGGCCGTTGCTTTGGTCGCCGGTTTCAGTACCGCGCCATTTCTACAAGTATTCTGGGAATGGTTCCCGAGCGTCGGCCAGCCCCATTGGTTGAGTCATGCTTGCGACTTGCCGCTACATCTACTTCTTGGGAAATCAATGACCATTACTAAACGACCCAACATTCTGCCACGCTTTGGTCCACCATTGCAACCTCACCAACAAACGGTAATAGTTTGGTCTAACTGACAAGCCCAATGTGGTGTGGAGAGATTTCAAGGTTTTGGACTTTAGCGAGGGAGCTGCTGTAGAGACGCCAAGCCCAGAACCGAACGCCTGTACGGAGACATCAAGCAAGAATTCATTCAAGCCTGAAGCCAAACCCTTCCCCGTGCTTGAATGAGGCGGTAACTGTGCCATGATTGAACAATACGCCTGGTTAAGAGTGGCATGCCATTGATCAACGTGAAAGTAGCAGTGGCGTGTACATGTGTGTTGTTGTCGGGGGTAGAGTTTCGATTCACAGAGCTCGTCTTACATGTACCGTACCGGTACTGCGATAGATACATAAGATAAAGGAAATTTAAGTAACTGAAAATGGCTGTAGCGACATCGAATCTTCCTACTAGCTATACCACAGGGAGAACATCCATTGGAGTGCTCCGAAGAGGGCCAGGTGGTACTTCGTGATCTCGTCCTTGTCTTATCGAGAGTTTTCTTGGTCTTCCGTTCAAGTAGATTTTTGTTGCCCATTCATTGTGTCAACAGATTAACAGATGCATGTGGGCTGCAGGGTCTGTCACTGTGACTCCAGCCGGCAGGGACAAAGCCTACGGTACTCATCAGTACTCCGTACTCAAGAGCAGTGGTTTACTAACGGGGATGTACTCGGAGTATGTATCACAAGCAAGTAGTGCACAGTGCACAGAACCAGGAAACTCTTGGGTGTTTTGTCCTCTCCTTTCGGAGGAGCTACTGGTAGCTAGCTTCGAATAAGTGGTTGCTATGGCTTCTAATTAGAGGGTGCTAGCTAGAGTACCGGTACATAGACTACGGTAGTCTACTCACACGCTGGAGAAATTTTGTGGTGCTCGGGTAACTCGGGTTGCCAGTTAGCATATTAATTCATTAATTCGTGAATCAACCAAGATGGGCAGGAATGGGAGACATTCTCGCAAGTCTTTTTGCTTAAGTAATTTTGGAAGGCAGATGTCTGCTGCTTCCCCACCGTAAGCCCGTACTGCAGTCCTTCCATTGACTATTGAGTCGAGTACTAAGTACGATGTACACCTCTCCTGAATCATCAAAGGATGATGCGAGATTCCTT